AGGTCGGGCGCCCTGGTAGACGAACAACTAAATGCATAAACGTACGCTCTCGGAGGTCCGCGCGGATTTCTGGGATCGGCGCTGGAAGCCCCTTCAACTGGCGCGAGCAGCGCGCCCGGGGCTGTGCCAGAGGCGTGGCCGGGGGGGGGGGCGCTTCGCCGATCCAAGAAATCCGCGCGGACCTCCGAAAGCTGCGTTGTCCTTGCTTTGTCTTCTTCGAGCTGGGGCCGCGGATGGAAGGCATCACTCGATGGTCCTCAGAACGGGTGTGAGCGCAGACGCGCGCTGGTCCACCGAAGCCCTTTCATGCGAAGCAGGCGACGTTCAATGAAGGCAGAATGGCAGACCCAGGCTGTGTTTCATCGGTGGCACGGAACTAACTACATACCAAACCACCCCAGCCCAACACGAAGTCGCCGTTGGGCCTTTTTTCCAATGGTGGGCAGCAATTGGGAGCATGTGGCGGCTGGACACCCCCAACACGGGATTTGTTGTGGGGGTCTGGATTTGGCGGGAGTGGCTTGGAAAGTAAGGATGAACAACACAATGTCGCGGCGAGCTCCGAATGGCGCCACAAAGCCGGTGGCCGTGAGACTGAAGTGGGACGAGGGCGGGAAAAGGCAGCGCAAGGCGGTGAGGAGGCCCAAGTATACAGGGCTGAGGGCTGCAAGCCTGTGGGGGGGGGGGGATAGCAGGGCAAGCCGCCAACCTGTGAGCCGTCAGCCGAGTGCAAGGCAGAGCGGCGGGACAGACGGAGCGCGCCAGCACCCAAGTGGACGACCCATGGGGGGGCAGCAGCGCAGCAGGGAGGGCAGAGGAGGAGCGCGACACCCCAGAACCAGGAAGAGACGAACCCTGATCCGGGGGAAGGGAGAAGGGGGAAGGGCGAACGACGGCGGGACGATTCAGGAGAAGACGGCACTATGGCGACAGCCCGAAAGACGAGCAACAGGAGAAGGAAGCGGAGGAGCGACCACACACACACACGCACACACACACACACACACGCGCACACACACACACACACACACACACACACACACACACACGCACGCACGCACGCACGCACACATACGCACGCACGCACACATACGCACGCACGCACGCACGCACGCACGCACGCACGCACGCACGCACGCACGCACGCACGCACGCACACACACAAGCACACACACAAGCACACACACATACACGCACACAAGCACACACACACATACACGCACACAAACACACACACATACACACACACACACACATACACGCACACTTTTTTGGTCGCGGGCGGACGCGGACACGCAGTCGCCAAAAGGGAGGCCCGGGGCACGGGCCTGCCAAATTGTCTACGTGCGAGCCTAGAGCGAAGCGGCCGGGCCAGCCACACACGCACACACACAACAACAAAAAACACAGAAACACAAACACAACCACAACCACAACACACAAACACAGACACACAATCAATCAGCACAAGCACAACACACACAATTGTTGGGCCGCTTTGGGCTCAAACGTTTTTTGGCGTTGCGGCCACGCGCACGGCGGCGCGATGCAGGCACTCGAGCGGGAGAACGCTCGCGGCTGGGCCAGATCACGCGGACGCGCACACACATACACATACACACGCAATGGACTAATACACGTCTAGGGGGTCGTCGAACCGTATACTGGAGGATGTCTGGGGGGGACGCCCGGAAAGGGCACGAAACCCACCTCCTCCGAGGGGTCGGCCCGTGCTCCAGGGCACGGAGGGGCAGCGAACCGCGGCAGGCAGGGCACGAAGACCTGCCCCTGATCTTGCGGGGGAGGGGGGGGCTTGCGAATCAGAGTCGGCTCCTCTGGTCCTTCCTGGAACCTTGGGCCCAGCAGTAAGCCCTGACTCAACGGCGCACTAGCAGCATTTAGGGACCATTTTTCTTTCTGTCTTACCTGGAAGGCGACGAGGGAACGAGGCAGAGAAAGAGGAAGACGAGGCCGAGGAGGACGCGAGGACAAGCCCAAAGCGCAGAAACGACAAAGCGGGAGGACAGGAAACGAGAGAGGAGGCGACAGAACGACGACAAGAAGAGGCAGAACGACAATACGTAAATGATAACCTGCCAAGCCTCGAGCGCATGCCTAGTGAGCGCTGAAAGCTGGAAACGCCGGACCCGAACATAACCGCCGAGCTTTGAGAGTGTCATCGGGCGGTGCAAACAGCTTAAAACTGCGATCGCAAAGACCCGACCCGCTCAAGACTACCCAAGCGATCGGGGAGACGTGAGTCTCGGGGACGGGGGACTCGGGCTGGCCCGACGGGGCCATCATGAAAATAACGAGGCCCAGTCAGTCTGAAATTTGACGCGACCTCCCGCTGCAAACACCCCACGAAAACCGGACCGTCAAAATCCAGGACGCGCTCGTCCAAAAACTCAAGCAAACCCGAGTTCTGGCTTACTCGGAGTCTTAGGTTTCCCCGACCCGGAAGTATCATCAGGTAGTGATGCGCCAGCAAAGAGATTGTCAAAAACTGATCAAGCAATGCAGTGCACCCACATAACCATGCCTTGCCACGAACTCGCGAAACATCACGAGGCTGGCACAGCGAGCACCAAGCGAGACGTTGGCGCCGAAACTGAAGAACATCACAAAGATCAGGTGAAAGGGCCAGTCGACGACGGGGTCGACGAGCAAACCAAACAACTCGCGCGCCAAGTCGAAGCCAGCCGAGCGCCAGGCGGCCCAGCGGGTCGGCCCCCGCAGGCGGCAGCAAGAACCCGCCTGACATCCGCGAAATCACGCCGTCGAGGGCGAGGCCCTGGCCGGCAGCGCCCGCAGAATTCGCCGCCGCGGAGAGGCACTCCGCGCCCTGCGCCACCAGGCGCCAGTCACGGCCCTTGGCGTCGCGCTGCTGGAGGCGCTGGGTCTCCTGCTCCAGCCTCGCGACCATGTCCTCGATCGCGCGCCCCGCCCCCTGCTGGCATTTGACCTTGGCGAGCGCCGTCAAATATTCAGCGCTGCGCTGGGGGCGCCCCGCGGCGGCCGCCCCTGGGCCCGCCGCCGCGGTCGATGGCGGACTCTCGCATCTTCGCTTGCTGGCGGAGGGCAGCGCGTCGACGTCTTCCGGCGCCCGATTGGAGCCCCCGGGGGCCTGCTTGATGGAGATGCGTTCAGCGATGACGTCGGAGGTCTGCTTGGAGGTGTCTTCGGAGGCCTGCTGGGCCGTGGAAGCCCCTCCAGGAATGTGAACTCCGGCGCCCGCGGAGGTCTGGGAAGCGCCCCCGGGGGCCTGAGTGAATGAGCTCAACGTCGCTGTCGTCGGGCGCGCGTCTGAAGGCTTCCCTGAGCATCCGGAGATCATTTATTTCTATTAAATATCGGAATATCCGATATGGAGGTACACATATCAAAAAAAAAAAAAAAAAAAATGTATCAATTTTTCCAATATGGGGTAGTGCGTCTAGGACACATCACCATCTACATGTTCGATGGTCCGCGAGGGACCAGCCAAACTGGTTTCACAACCAGACACCAAGGCTCGATCCAAACTTGTTGGAGGTGGAGGACGAGGAGGAGGAGGAGGAGGAGGGGAACAGAAGGAGGAGGAGAGAAGGCGGAGCAGGAGGAGGCTGCAAGGAGGGCGCAAGCAGAGGGAGGAGGGAGCAGGATCGCAAGCACGCCACGCGAGGAGGATGCTGAGGAGGAGGAGGAGGGAAACGGAGAAAGGCACTAAGGAGGAGGCTCTCGCTGGATACGTCCTCGGAGTGTACTCACATACAAGGCCTCCGTTCGAGACGTTCGGACAATTTGCTCAGGAATGAGGCTCCCGCTCGAATCGCCATCAATATTTAGGCCGTCAACTGCGTGTTCAATAGTTCCGACGATAATTTCGAATTGGAAAAGCAAGGCGCGGGCTCTGTAAGGGGGGTACCCGCTGGAAACTTCCTCGCAATTTACTCTACCCGCGTCCTGCGTTCTTGTTGATCCCCTTTGCAAGGTCGGCGGAGCCAGCCGTAAGGCCTTTTCGATAAAAGACTTGGCGCCCGCGGGAAAAGGGAAGGATCGTTAATTTATCCACCATCAGCGCCTCACGCTTTCACCTCCTTGCCGAATGCAAAGATCCAGCACAATGTAATTGTTTTCCATTACTTTGTTGCCGATGATTGACATGGGAGAGCCAGAAATGCATGCTTTTGCTGCCACGTTCATGAAATGTTCCCACTCGTATGTCCACGTGGCTGTAGGGTTCAAATAGCACGACAGATCAACAATATGATACAGAGAATGAAGCTTGAAATTGACAGGGTAATTTAATTCACCACAATCTATACTGTATTGAACCATCCACGCCCAATGCTCGTAAAACGAATCAATGCATTCACGCGCACGAAGGGCCCGATCCCGAGGCACGAACATTCCATAATCTTTGAATATCGTGTAAACCTCAGTAATGTTTGAAAACGCAGCCAACCTTTGCAAATCGCGATCGCTGCCAGTTGATAATTCATCCAATATCTTATGCATGACAAACAGCAAGTGATGTATGATTGCAGCTTTCGTGTTCACTAGGCACGAGAACTTACCAGGATGTTTGAAAAGTGCTACGCTGAATGTGGTGAGTCTGCTCGGTGTGCCTAAGAGGTCGTACCATTTTTTGATCATTACCCACAGTTCGGCACACCGTTGCTTCTCTGTCCCGTGGAACGGGCCATCGTACATCAGTTCCCACATCGCGCCTCCTATAAGGCTCGGAAGCACGCCCAAATCCGACGTATGCATTAGTTCCCCAGGCACCGTGAATCGAGTGAACCCTGCAAGTTTACTTATGGGGTGCGTCGTTGGCGCACAGACCCCTTCATCGACGCCGACCAACGTGCTCCTCCACCGAGCTGTCCTTGACAAATCAGTTATGGGAAAATCATTTGTTCGATCTGCTGAACACAACCAACATGGGTGATTACTGTTGAAGTGAGGGAAGCAATACCCGTTTCCTATTTCTTCCAAGTCGGCTGTCACACTCCAAACTACGAAATGTTGTTCGCCAGCGATTGGACAGCCTGCGTATCGTTTGTCGTCCGAGTTGTCTGGGAACTCTTGGCCCCACGCATCTGTTCTGGATGAAGGCCGCAAGCAAGAGAATTTATATAGTGCGCTGCCGCTTCCCATAACATAGAATTTGTGTGTGTGTCGCAAGCTGATTTCGCTATGCAGAATATAGGGAATATCGACATGCCGAAACCTTCTGCAAGCAACGATTTGAACTGAACTGAAAGCAAGGAATCTGAATTCTTATTCGTGAAACGACCTCCATCAGAATGGAGAACAAGAGGCCACGTGTTGTCACGCCAGTTGGGCCGATCTGAAAACAATTCACTCACTGCACTGAGTTTGGGGTCGTCGGGCGGAACGTTGTCCCAAAATTTTCTAGGGTTTTTCCCCATCATAGATGACCATAGCGTGTGACACTTGTTCCAAAAAAACCCAATAACCGATTCGGCGGCATTATCAACTGCAGCGCTGATGACACACAATTGTTTATTGCGCCAATCTTCATCGGGACAAACAAAGACGATGGGCGAGGCAGCGCGCACGTTGGAAACCACCTGCGAAGCAGGTCTCGGCGACAGTTCCCACTGCACTGACCTTCCTTGCCAATCTTCGCCAGCAGCACCAGTTCCGGGTGTGATGCGCCGTCCGCAACTGCGCAAGATGCAATCCACTGTATTGTCGCGGCAGAGAGCACTCCCCAACTAAACAAATTGAGAAGTGCAAAAGCCAATCGAGATGAACTCGTCTGCCCATCAAAACTCGATGTTGCTATGTGGCGCCTCAGCGCTTCATCTCTTTGGCGGGAACCACCGTGGGTAAGGTCCGACGGTAGCGTCGAATACGCTCTCTTCATGTAGCAAAAAACTCGCAAGCTGTATGAGCCAAAATGTGCCACGGAATGCAAGTGTTGAACAGCACGCTATTGGATGTTTGTTTTTGTCGATTCCTGAAGCTCCACTGCGCCTCTGGGCTCGCCCAAAGATCGACCCAAGACGCCCAATATCGACCCAAGACGGCCCAAGAAGCCTCCAAGACGGCCCAAGAGGCCTCAAACAGGATTCCCAAGAGGGGCCCAAGAGGGAGGTATTTAGTATTTACTAAATACCTCCCCTCTTGGGGGCTCCCAAGAGGGCCCAAGAGGCCCCCAAGAGGCGCCCAAGTCGGCCCAAGAGGGCCCCAAGACGGCCCAAGAGGCCCCCAAGACGGCCCAAGAGGGCCCCAAGACGGCCCCAAGAGGGGCCCAAGAGGGGGAGCCCGAACCGACAATCCGAGCCATCCGCCCCAAGACGGCCCCAGAAGGCCCCACGAGGCGCCCAAGAGGCCCCCAAAAAGCCCCCAAGGAGCCCCCAAGAAGCTCCAAGAGGCCCCCAAGAAGCCCAAAAGAGGCCGCAAGTACCACTTGAGGCATGTAGCTTTTAACCCGCATACCCAGGCACCAAGGATCTCAGACCACGAGACCCATACACACGTACAAGAGGCCACAGACCAATAACCAAGGCACGGTGGCGGAATAGGCCGAAGGCCAAGAGATACGAGGAAGTGTCAAGCGAGAGCCCCTTCAAATTGAGCCGCCCCCCATCCGTGCAGATCTCATGGTGACGGGGGGCCACGGCTTCCCAACGGCATGATGAGCAGGAGAGTACCGGCACGACCCAGGACGAGGAGGATAGCCAGGACGTCACGTCAGGCTAGTGAGGAGGTTGAGCGGAAGAGGACTAACACGAGACTGATGAAGAAAAAATGCACCAGCAGCATGCGGCACAGGAAGAGCGCCGGATTGCCCTGGGGGAAGGGGGGGGGGGAGATGCGGAGGAGGATTGCCAGGAGGACGTGCAAGGATGAAAATGAGGATGATGCTCTTGGGGTCCTCTTGGGGACCTCTTGGAGCGCTCTTGGGCGCTCTTGGGGTCATCTTGGGGACCTCTTGGTGCGCTCTTGGGCGCTCTTGGTGTCCTCTTGGGGACCTCTTGGGGCGCTTTTGGGCGCTCTTAGGTCCCTCTTGGGGACCTCGTTGGCCCTTTTGGGGCCCTCTTGGGCAGTCTTTGAGCCCTCTTGGGGTTCTCTTGGGTCCGCTTGGGCCGTCTTGGAATGAAACGGGGGGTCATTTAACAAATGATGAAGGCGTTTGTTTTTCATCGCCCATGGCCAAACAGAAGTTAGATCATTGAGTGTGAATATTGGCACAACGTAAGATCAGCCACATCACAACGCGGGAACCGATTGTTTTTGAACCGACAATACAGCATAATGCGAACTCGTACATGAGAAGCCGTTACGTCCACCCATACACTGTTGATATCGAAACAAATATTGTCCATCACATGTTTTGAGCAATCACTTCTTGCAAAACGGTTTGACCTGCTTCAAATATGTTTTGAGTTTATCGTCGAGCTTCTTGGTAGTCTTGATGGCGGCCTTCGCCTCGGATGTTGTCGCGTTGAGCTTCGCCTTCAAGAGCTCTTTGCGAAGGGACTCGCACTCCGCCTTGTACAAATTCCCGTCGTTTTTCAGGCCCTTGCCATTTTTCCCAGGCTGGATCATGTGCACGACCGTCGTGAGCTTCGAAGACCACTTCCCGATGGCGGTGATCATCTTTTCGATCTCCTTGGGATCATTATCGGCCTTGCCCTTAGCAGTCGCGGGCTCTGGATCCTTGTCGAGGATCGCCTGCAGGCCTTTTGCTTTCTTCTTCGGGGGACCAGCTTTTCCGAACGTAGCGACTGCCGCTGAACCAGAACTGCCACTCGACGCACTCGCGGCACTCTTCGAGAACCATTCGGCCATGGAGCTGGAGTTCTGGTCGTCCGTCAGCTCGCTCTGCCGCTTCTGCCTGCAAGCTTTGAAAACAAAAAAAAAAAAAACGAAAATGCTCTTATGAGCTCTTATATAAGCTTATATAAGTGCTCATAAGTGTTTTTTCGTGTGTTTTTTTTTTTTTTTTTTTTTTTTTTCAAACTGTTTTTTGGGCGTTTGCCTTCACCTCCTCCTCCTCCTCCCCCATCCGCCTCCTCCCCCTCCTCCGTCGTCCCTCCTCCTCCTCCGCCTTTCTTCTCCTCCTCCTCCCCCGCCTCCTCCGTCCTCCGCCCTCCTCCTCCTCCTCCTCCTTCCTCCCCCTCCTCCTCCCTCCTCCCTCCCTCCCTCCTCCCTCCTCCCACCTCCTGGAAGCAAAAAGTCGTCGACAGTTTTGTTGCCCGACCTCCTCCTCATCCTCCTCCTCCTCCCTCCTCCGCCTCCCCCTCCTCCGTCCCCCTCCTCCTCCTCATCTTCTTCCTCCTCCTCCTTCTCCTCCTCATATTTCCTCCTCCATCCTCCACCGTCCATCTTTGATGCCTTGACTGCGAGGCCGTGTTCGTTTTGGCGAGGCTCTGCGTGAATTTTTTGCTCTTCTTGACGTACATCGCCTCATCGTCCGAATCGTAGACGACGTCGTACTTGCCGCTGTTGATGTTGCGCTCTGCTTCCTCCGCACCCACCCGTTGGATAAGTTCCCCTTTAGTCAGCGGCTCGAAGCCCTTCTGGAACAGCTCAGCCTTGGTAATGCTCTCGGTCACCGTCAGCAGTCGGTTCACCCACTCGTCAGGCTTGCCAGTGAGGAAATCGAACAGCACGTTGTTCTTCTCAGCTCCACTGCTGCCAAGCTTCATGATTGATTTCCACGCCTCCTTGACACTCATATCCCTCTTGTTGCGCGCCGTCTGGAGCCTCATCCAGAGCGCGCTCATCTCCTTCGCGTCGAACGTTGACTTCAACAGTGCCAAATCTGGCTCTGTCTTACCAGACGATTTCACAACCTTTTTGAAATCATCGATTTTGCGATCCAGCACTTCCTTAGCGTTTTCGCGGCTCTCCTGGCTGTGTGGGTTGTTCGCTGTCTCCTCCACGGTAGCCTCCTCGACATCCTGCGCGGCCTTTGTATCAGCCTCAACCGCCGTTGCTGCTGCTGGGCGTTTTTTTGCAACCATCTCGGAATGAATGAAGCACAAAGTAAATGTATTGTACTGAAGAATGAAGAAAGCCGAACTGAGCTCGAAGAGAAGCGCAACTTGAGCCATGTTCCGGTGTTGTAGCTGTTGTTGTAATAATTGTTGTTGTTGTGCTGTGTGTTTTGTTGCTGTTGTAGGTGTTGTTGTTGTTGTTGTTGTTGTTGTTATTCTTGTTGTTGTGCCCAACTCAGAAATCTTGGGGGGCCTTGCAAAAACCATATCCAAGAAGCGCCGCCTCTTCGCTTCCGATGCGCTTCTGAGGCCTCAAGATGGCCCCAAGATGGCCCAAGGCAGCCCCAAGAAGGGCCCAAGAGGCCCGAAGAGCAACCCGCTGTGCAGGAAAGAAGAGACCAGTTTCAAAATACCCACCAGGCAAGAAAAAGGAGACCAGTCTCAAACTGAGGGTTTATCTTCCAAGACGACCCAAGGTGGCTCCAAGATTGCCCACTATGGTCCCAAGACGGCCCAATATGGCTTCACGACGGCCCAAGAAGCCGTCAAGACCACGCAAGAGGGCTCCAAGAGGATTGTCAAATCGTCGATTTTCCTTGCGTGTTTGAAGGATGTTCGCATTCGCGCCTGTCGCGCTTCCGTGAGCTTAAGACGGTCCAATCTGCTTCCAGTATTGCCCCAAGACGGCGCCAGAATGCCTCACAATTGCCCAAGAGGCCTCCAACACGGCCTCAAGACAGCCCATGACGGCCTTTGGACGGCCCCGAGAGCCCCAAGTTGGCCCAAGAGGGCCGACGCAATCCGGTACTAGAGGGCTCCTCCACCACACGGCCCAAGACGGACCCAACACGGCCTCAATATGGCCCCAAGAGATCCCCGAGGGCCCCAAGACGGCCCAAGAGAGTCCCCATCTGGCCCAAAACGCGCCAACGCCAACAAGCCTGCGTTTTCAACCATGCGCAATCCACGCATCACGCACCAGGTTCGAATATGGAGGACGCTGCGCCGTTAGCTGACTGATCCGAGTCTGCGCCCTCGGAATATTCATCATCAGACAGTGCAGCTGCTGAGCCCTGCGGCAGGGTTTTTTCGGCCTTCTTCTTTGAAGCGGCGGGGCGCTCAATCAATTCATTTCTTTTGTTGATAACGTCTGATTTGTTAAGCTTCTTGCTTCCATCAACAATGTATTTGAGAAGCTCGTCAATGAGCAGTGCGTGTCCATCACGTTTAATCTCTGCCAGCAAAGGCCACTTGTCCGAGTCAGGGTCGTACTGCAATATGTAACTTTTGTGAGTGCACCTGTGAACCTTCACAATACCAAAAGCTTTGCAATTGTGTTTGTTTGTATTGGCAGATGCTGGTTTCTTTTTCAAAATCTCCTGTTTGAGTGCACCCCGTCCTGGTGGTATAGGTTTTCGAGCAGCTGCTGCTGCGTCGTCCCGAACTTTGCCATTGCTTGT